GGCTGTTCATATCACTTACCAATGGCAGGGGGGCCGTTCGAACGACCGGTGTGGTCTTACAATAGGGCCGTCCCCGTCCATAGTAACGACACAGGTGGCACCCATGTTCATCTTTGCTATTCCATGTTCGCTCAGCCCAGGTTGCAACCCTGACCAATTTTGGGGGGCGAGTTGCATGACGGGAAATTTTTGATAATTCAAATCGAGTAATCAATAACAATTGAACATAGGAAACCTTGGGCTTTTTTTGGTGTTGTATGCTCAGGACGCCCTTTTCCTACCTGTGCTTTCCTCGACATTTGTGTTTCCCCTGTCAAGTTCCATGTTCTTTCCATCTGAGTACTCGGCCTTCTTTTTTTTTCATTTGTATTTTTAGAAGAGCATCCCAATCGGGTGGTAGGGGTGCTGGTAAGAGCAGACACCACTAGCACTCCCAGGGAGGCTCCATCTATTAGTCGGGAGCGGCACCTGCTTGAAAGCGGGTCCAACGTCCCTGAACATTTGATTGATTGTTTGAACAGACATGCTGATGTATTGACTGCAACTTGCAGGCAGGGTGCACTCAGGCTTCTACAGTGTTGCCATCCACCAGAGCAGCAGACTTCCAAGTTCCAACCCTAAGTGTGATTCCTACAGCCCCCTCGAGCACAACATCATGCCCCCCCCAATGGAGGGGTTGTACCTGGAGTATACTGAGAGAGCTACCACAGGCAGTGTCTATAATGGTCATCAGGCCAAGGTCTACCCTGTACCCTGAGCACTTCCTCTTGGCCTAGCACAGCCATAATTGGCATAATTATTTTCCTCATAAATTAAAGGGCTCCCCTTATTGTTCAATTCCTCTGCTTAGGAGCCGAAATTATGAGCCGTTTATACCATGACCACACGTGTGTTCCATTCAACCGCCTGGGCTAATTACTTCCCATTACAATTGCTCGGACAAAAAAAAAGAGGTGTACAACGAAACCATCATCAGTACAATTATTAATTATTATAGGGTTTAAATAACCCTATAATTGACCCGTATAATTCTACAAGGAGGGGCAGGTCGGAGCTCACGCTGTGAGGGCCAACCATTGATCTCTCCAGCCGGCGGCCTCACGCTGGCGCTTTGCGCCTGTGGGACGGGACGGCATTTTGGCTGAGTCGCCGGTAAGAAACGTCCTCCCAAGAATAGAAAGGCCAGCGCGAGTGCGAGTTTTTCCTGGCAATTGACTGCGAGGTAGGGTCTATTGGGGATCCCGGGCATTCCTTGTAAAGGGCTACCAAGGAAACTACTAGAAATGCATAGCCGTTGATCTTCCCAAGTAACGATCACCATGATCATGAAGTCCAAGAGGCGGTAAAAGCGAACACCCCGCCAATGTTTCGCAAAAAAAACGAAAAAGAACACCCCGCCTACCGGTAGGTGGCCAAGTGGTGCACCGATAGCCAGAAGCGGGCCGAATCCTCCCAAAAAAGATCAATTCAGTAATACCTTGGGCCGAAATGATGCTCACGGCACGTACAGTCCGAGCTGTTTGCCCCCCACCCGCCGACACAGTTTGTCCGTTTGTGTTCACGTACAGTCCGGCGGGACGTCGCTGTACAGTCGGCAGTCGTAGTATCTGGAGACACTGACGGCCTCGACGCACCACTCATCGAATGCACAAACGACAAAAATGCGGCGCACTGCCAAGTTGCAGTTCCCTCTCTCTCTCTCTCTCTCTCTCTCTCTCTCTCTCGGGGAAAAAACTTCTGTTTGTTTTGGGGGGCGGTATAGTACGGGCAGCCTACTGCCCCTTCTGTAGACCACCGGGGCTAGTATATCAGTTTATTTCTTTTTCTTTTTTCATTTTAGTTTTTGTCCTGCAGGGCTTTGCTAGTTTATCGGTTGCGAAGCGTGCCTAATCGGGGTGTCATATCAGGTCCACCCTCGCGGGTGCAACTGCGACGGATTTTTTTTTTCTTTTTTTTTTTTTTTTTTTTGTAAGGACAGCGACTTTCAGAGATCATCATCGAACTGACCGGCGCCAGATAATTCAGAAGCATTCGCTTTCCATCATATAGTTCCAGTCAGATTCGAACTCACGTCTGTGTTTCAACAGTTCATGGAGTGTAAGCCAACAGAGCTAGGACCGTTGGTTAGGCGTTTATTCTATACGCACTACTACCCCATCTATCTGATTACATAGCGTAAAGTCCTCTTCCTCGATTTATGCGTGTCATCCTTGCGCAGGGGCCATGCTAATCTTCTCTGTATCGTTCCAATTTAACGGATGTCCGGAAGGACTAAAGTCCTCTTCCTACCATTTCTTTTCTTCTCTTTCTTCTCTTAAAGCAGGTAGTACCTTCGTCGGTTCGAAAATACTCGGCCTCCGAACTTTCAGGAGGCCGAAACGAAACGACGGCCGCCGATCAGATTGATCAACGTCGGGCTCGGCCTCCTGAAGGTTCGGGAGCTGGCAAGTACTTGTCGAAACCGGACGCCAAAGGTACGCCGCCGCCGAAAACAAGATCCTAAAAACAATAAATAATAATAGTAATAATAATAAAAGATTATACCATCTGAGATCGTCAGAATTCCAACTATAACCGGTTCACAAGGTATACGTGTGTACCACTCAGCCACATGGACCAGAATCCTACCACAGTTCCACCACCACATGACACGTGCGCAAACAAGAGTTTGAAAAAAAAAAAAAAAAAAAAAAGCTCAACATTTCTTAGTTCCTCTGTCCCTGCTCTTCCGCCCCGGACTCGTTTCCGAATGGGGCAAATGAATGCAACAGCAAAATAATTGTTCCCTTTCATTTTGAAAAGAAATCTATGATTTTTTTTGCTTCCAAAACTGCAGTCTCGCGGAACTGGCAATCATTACAGAACATTTCAAGTTAACCGCGATTCGTCTTTCTAAGGGTCATATCCCACAACCCTGGATTATTCATTTCTCACCCTCGATTACGAAGATCAACGGTCCGAAATGAACAATAGGGGCTAGTTGGATCTGGCCCTAAACGACTCTCAAGTTATCAACAGCAACCCTACAAGTAACTTACCGATTTCAATTCGCCCGCAACTCACCTTGCAAAAATAACATCAACCACGATCGACGAAAACGACTCGATTATGGCAGATGTACTCGATCGGCGGATGGAGAATTAACCGAGATACAAGTTTCATGATCTACTCTACTCAATCCAGGGACCCTATACACCCCGCGCTCTCCCCACGCCTTCAGTGGCCTCCAAAACCAAACAGTATGCGTCCAATAGGGGCACTCAAGCTACAGCGTTTCCATCGTTCAAGGCGCTGCCGGAGTAGAGCTCTAGTAAAGAAACACAGAATAGACACTCCCAAACTATCACAGAACGCCAGACTACATGTGTAATCGACTCCTGATGATGCCGCTAACAACCACCAATCAAAAAGCCGATCCCTAATTAAAGACTAGTGCGCAGACTATCTTACTTAAGCTTTCGAAATGTGCTCAATCAACTCCACAACGCGGTTGGAGTATCCCCACTCGTTGTCGTACCAGGACACCAGTTTCACGAAGTTGCCGCTCAGGGCAATGCCCGCCTTGGCGTCGAAGATGCTCGACCTAACATCGCCGATGAAATCMGACGACACCACATCGTCCTCCGTGTACCCCAAGATGCCCTTCAGATCGCCCTCCGAGGCCTTCTTAATCACAGCCTTGATCTCCTCGTACGTCGCGCTCTTCGCCAGCCTCACCGTCAGATCGACCACCGACACGTCAGCCGTCGGGATACGGAAAGCCATACCCGTCAGCTTGCCATTCAGCTCGGGAAGAACCTTGCCCACGGCTTTCGCGGCGCCCGTTCCGCTGGGAATGATGTTGAACCCAGCTCCGCGCCCGCCCCGCCAGTCCTTGCCAGATGGGCCGTCTACCGTCTTCTGCGTGGCCGTCACGGCGTGTACGGTGGTCATCAGTCCCTCGACGATGCCGAAGTTGTCGTTCATGACCTTGGCCAGAGGCGCCAGACAGTTGGTCGTGCAGCTCGCGTTGGAAATGACGTCCAGATCGGGCGTGTACTTCTCCTCGTTCACGCCCATAACGAACATCGGGGCGTTGCCAGAGGGAGCAGAGATGACCACCTTCTTGGCGCCGCCCTTGAGATGAGCAGCCGCCTTGTCCTTGTCCGTGAAAACGCCGGTGGATTCCACCACATACTCGGCACCTGCCTGTCCCCATGGGATCGCCGCAGGGTCCCTGAGAGCGAAGATGGCGATCTCCTTGCCATCGACGACCAGCTTCTTGTCAGCAGACAGACCGACCTCGCCCTTGTACTTACCGTGCACGGTGTCGTACTTGAAAAGGTAGACGATGTACTCGGGATCGAGGAAAGGGTCGTTCACAGCAACGACCTGCACGTTGGGGTGGTTGAGGGAAGCCCTCAGGACCAGCCTTCCGATGCGGCCGAAACCATTGATGCCAACCTTGACCACCATCCTCGCTGGAGCGCTCGATCGGCCAACAAGCACGAAGAGCCCGCAACTCGCTGTCGATCAGCACGCTGAACACCGACTACAACAGCGCTGCAGTGACCACGCACACCGCCTCAATATTGCGACTAACGAGCTGTTTGTTAGAAAACACAGACAAGAGGGAATCTTTATTCTCTTTCCGAACCCCTATTATCGACCAGCGGGACCTTTCCGATTGAATCTGGAAGTGTGGGCAAGACAGGTAACAGCAGCCTCGCCGCACCATTCACCAATCTTCCGCTAGAACGGAGCAAGAGACACCGACGTAATTTTTGTCTTTTGTGCATGTGGTGGTGGACCACTCTCGAAATGTGAAAACGACAAAAATGTGGCGCGTGCATATGGCAGTGTACTAGCGGCAAGTTCATTCTGATTTTTTGCATATTTCCAGAGTAATGTCGCGATGATCTGAGCGTCTCCTGATGCTGCGACTGCTGACTGTACAGCGACGTCCCGCCGGACTGCACGTGCACACAAACGGACGAACTGTGCCCGGCCCGGCCGGTTGCGGCCAAACAGCTTGGACTGTACGCGCATTGAGCATCATTTCGGCCCAAGGTAATACTGAGTTGCTCTTTTATTGGGAGGATTCGGCCCGCTTCTGGCTATCGGTGCACCATTTGGCCACCTACCGGTAGGCGGGGTGTTCGCTTTTACCGCCTCTTGGACTTCATGATCATGGTGATCCTTACTTGGGAAGATCAACGGCTATGCATTTCTAGGAGTTTCCTTGGTAGCCCTTTACAAGGAATGCCCGGGATCCCCAATAGACCCTACCTCGCAGTCAATTGCCAGGAAAAACTCGCACTCGCGCTGGCCTTTCTATTCTTGGGAGGACGTTTCTTACCGGCGACTCAGCCAAAATGCCGTCCCGTCCCACAGGCGCAAAGCGCCAGCGTGAGGCCGCCGGCTGGAGAGATCAATGGTTGGCCCTCACAGCGTGAGCTCCGACCTGCCCCTCCTTGTAGAATTATACGGGTCAATTATAGGGTTATTTAAACCCTATAATAATTAATAATTGTACTGATGATGGTTTCGTTGTACACCTCTTTTTTTTTGTCCGAGCAATTGTAATGGGAAGTAATTAGCCCAGGCGGTTGAATGGAACACACGTGTGGTCATGGTATAAACGGCTCATAATTTCGGCTCCTAAGCAGAGGAATTGAACAATAAGGGGAGCCCTTTAATTTATGAGGAAAATAATTATGCCAATTATGGCTGTGCTAGGCCAAGAGGAAGTGCTCAGGGTACAGGGTAGACCTTGGCCTGATGACCATTATAGACACTGCCTGTGGTAGCTCTCTCAGTATACTCCAGGTACAACCCCTCCATTGGGGGGGGCATGATGTTGTGCTCGAGGGGGCTGTAGGAATCACACTTAGGGTTGGAACTTGGAAGTCTGCTGCTCTGGTGGATGGCAACACTGTAGAAGCCTGAGTGCACCCTGCCTGCAAGTTGCAGTCAATACATCAGCATGTCTGTTCAAACAATCAATCAAATGTTCAGGGACGTTGGACCCGCTTTCAAGCAGGTGCCGCTCCCGACTAATAGATGGAGCCTCCCTGGGAGTGCTAGTGGTGTCTGCTCTTACCAGCACCCCTACCACCCGATTGGGATGCTCTTCTAAAAATACAAATGAAAAAAAAAGAAGGCCGAGTACTCAGATGGAAAGAACATGGAACTTGACAGGGGAAACACAAATGTCGAGGAAAGCACAGGTAGGAAAAGGGCGTCCTGAGCATACAACACCAAAAAAAGCCCAAGGTTTCCTATGTTCAATTGTTATTGATTACTCGATTTGAATTATCAAAAATTTCCCGTCATGCAACTCGCCCCCCAAAATTGGTCAGGGTTGCAACCTGGGCTGAGCGAACATGGAATAGCAAAGATGAACATGGGTGCCACCTGTGTCGTTACTATGGACGGGGACGGCCCTATTGTAAGACCACACCGGTCGTTCGAACGGCCCCCCTGCCATTGGTAAGTGATATGAACAGCC